TTGACACAACTGGTGATGAGGTCACGACTAGATTTGACACGTCTAGGAGGCCTGGCAGGGATATGCAGAACTGTTTATCATTCATTCATTGCACTCAGCCCAGTCTCAGATTATGATGGACAGTCACACTTGTATCTGAAACTCCACTGACTTCAGTCCTATCCTGCTTCTAATGTATTGCTTCTCACTCCGTGCCTTGCTGCATCAACTGATGGCAGAGCTGAGAAATTCTCAAGAGCTCTACTAAGGAAATTTGATTAGGACATTCCTCTTTGGACTTCCCTGCTTCCAGTTATCAGAATAAGTTGGAAAACATAGGTAGGCAACAACAAAGAGAGATTTATTTTGGAAAGTGCTGAGTGTTGCCAAAGTCCCATGTCTGTGGGTGATCCAATGACTCCATGGGCTAGAGGTTGCCAAATCCTCACTTAGGAGATGGCTTTTGATAGACCATGAAGGCCCATGCAGTGTCATGTCTGGCACTGTAAAATGCTTCAGAGGCCTTCCTCAAGAGATGTATTAACTATTTTAGTTGTTTTTACCATTTACTTTATTCATCATCTATGACAGGGCTACCCAATTTCTAAGTGGCTGGGGGCCATGGGCATCTCAGCCACACACCTAGAGCAGCACATCAGGAATGTCATGTAGGCTGCATGCCATGCAATGTGAGCCCCTCCCCCACTCCCCATGCTGCAGCACATGGGCCATGACACATTGTGCAAGACCCCATGCCCTGCCACTGCACCATGTGGACTCTCCCCATCCCTGTACTGCCATACCACACAGGCTCTGACATACTACAAGAGGCCCTGATGCTCCCCAGGGTCCCAGTGTGTAGATATACTGCACCACATAGGCCCCTCTGGACTAGGTGGCTACTTCTCTATGAATCACAATGCATAGTGCAGTCCTGCCATGCACCCCTCCTCCCCTGCTATGTAGTGAATGACTCCTGCTGCACTGCACTGGCATACCTGCTGAATGGTGTTCTGGGTCCCCCCCAAACCCTCTGACCACGGGCTACCTCAGCTCCACTGAGGCTGCACTTCTTCACCCTGCCCCAGGAGTGGAAGCAGGCAGTGTAAGCTGGAGGAGAGAATGGGAGCAATGAGACTCTAGTGGCAGCAGTAAGTAAGGAAATGGGGGACTGACATCCAGAACAGGAGCACTGGCTCTGTGGTTTAAGCCCCCAGAGGCTGTATGCAGCCCATGGGCCAACAGCTGGACAGTACTGATCTAGGAAAATACAACATTTCTTAACAACTTTTACTGTGATTACTACTTCTTTTTTAAGAGGTAATGCTACCTCAGTTAATGTGAATTAATTATGCCAGTAAACCATGAATCAGACAGTAAAATAAACTTCTCTTTGATGATTTCCTGTTTGCAGTTATACTTTGAGACTTACTGGGTAGACCATTTTTAATCCATTTACTGTTCACCATATTAATTTTGAATAGTTCTAATTGCTTAAGCAAAATGCAGCATGATACTAAGTCAAATGCCTTAATAGCATTACTTTTATCAGCAAAATGTGCAATCTTATCAGAAAGATACATTAGATTGACATGATCTATTGTCCATAAACCCAGGTTTATTAACAATGATTATATAAACCAGCTATGATTCTTTAGTAACCAAGTCCCTTTGCAGCTGTTCCATCATTTTGTCTGGGTTTATTTGTCTGGTTCTCTTGCTTTACTTTTATTCAATAATGACATATCATTAGCTTTCTTCCAATGCCATTTGTGGAATGCCTTTTATTTCCTAATACACGTGCAAAACTACTTACTGCCCTTAACTGTGCTGACCACAAATTTCCCCTTGTGTCCTTTTTTCTTCCCTTATCAATTTTTTACAGCCCCTAGTTTTTGATTGATATTCATTACTATGACCTTTCCCTTTCCTCCACTTGTTATATATTGTTTTCTTATTATAGATAAGGGAAATTATGTTTAATCTGTTAAACTTCGGTTGTAGGTAAGACTGTGAAGGATTTTTTTAGTGTCCTAGGTGGGGAATGAAATGCATTTAAAAATGGCAAAATGTGATTACATCACATAACTTAACTCTTTGAAATCCTGATTGAAAAGAAATGTGTATATTTTATTGCCAAATTGCTAAGTAAGTAGATATGAAGAATCTTAATTTCCTTCGCTTTGTCATTGACTTTCTTCATTTATGAGCAACCTTATCTGTAATTTAGCAGTTTTTGTTAATAATTTCCTGTTGTGCTTTTAATGATGTTGGGTTCCCTTTAATGTCTTTGTAGTTAACGTATAATGATATTCTGAAGCAAGCATACATTTACTCATGTTTAACAGAAGAATTGAATACAGCCTTAAACAAAATAAGGCTACCATATTCCATATTCTTATTTTGCATGCACCAGAGGCAAGCACGGGAGACCTTATCCAGGAGAGCCAGACTCTGCACAGGTGGCAGGGATAGAAAAGATGTTATTAAATAAAGTATTGCAGTAGTGCCCTTGTAGCTTTAGATTTGGTTCAAGCATCAGCTGTGCTAGGTGCTGTACAGCCACAGAACCAAGAGCCCTTCCATTCTCCAAAGTGCCTTGGATGTTATTCTCCAGAAGCTACACCTTTGGACCCCATTCTTGCTCCCTTTCCGATGCTTAGCAAGGCAAGGACAATTAGGTGTGTATAACCGAAGGGGTTGGGAGGAGGTCGGAGTACCATGCAAAGAGGAGAAAGGAGGTGTTTTCTCTGTCCCAAAACACCTTCCTCCCCCTTGCCTGCTAGGCTCTGGCGGGCAGGGAAAGGACCGGGATTCAGGGTCTGGCTGGTTCAGCTGGGCTGGCAGGCTGCTCTCCCACCCTTTGCTGGTGGCACCGCTCAGGCCAGGTACATCTGGCACAGGTGGCAGAGAGCAGCTGCCAACCTGATTGCAAACCATGGGGAGCAATGCGCTGAGCAGGGTAGTGGCAGATGCAGCATCACCAGCAAAAGACGGACATCGGGCTAGGACCCTTGCCCTCCTGCCGGGTACAGAGCCTCTAATAAGCACTAGCTCCTGTCCCTCTTGAATCTGCCCATGCAGCTAAGTAGGTGGTGCATGGAGCACAGCTGCAGCTAGGGTGGCTTTGTGCTGAGCAATCAGAGCAGCAGGTTCACAGGATCAGAGCCTGGACAAAGCCTTGCTTTGCTCCCAGTCACCCCAAGTGCCTTTTGGCAAGGAGCAGTGCCTGATGACCTGGGGGCTTTGACCCCTGCAGGTGCAGGCAGGGCAACCAGGGGTGCAAACTCAAAGACAACTCACTGCAGCCTGCGCTGGGGAATGGGAACAAGAACATCTGTGTAGTGTCTGGGAGGTTGATATATTTCCCTCAGAGGGAGGAGGGAGAAGAGGTCCACCCCCCGCTCCTCTCCATGCTCCCCAGTCCTTGTCTCAATCATTGGCAGGGTGATTTTAAAGGAACACGAATGGATATTTTAAACAAGGGCACCCCCTGCCCCGAAACTGGCTTTCCTGCTCCCTCGCCATCTACTGAATTTTAAGAAACCAGTTTTCAGGATAATGGTTTTGTGACCGTTTTCCCTCCAGGCCTCTGTAGAGCTATTTGGCCACAGGCTGCGGAAAGTCTAAGAGCTGCTGGCCTAGCTGAGCCTGTAGCAGAGCAGCTCCAGTGCTCCTACATTTCCATCAGTCATGTAAACCACATTTGTAGCATTTGTTTTTTTGGGTGTGTTCAACAGGTGGCTACCTGGGAATATCTGTGGTTTCCCCCTTGTCCCCATTCTCTCCCATCTTGAGAGGTGGAGGGAAGACAATGGGGAGGACTGCAGTATGGGAGGCACAAGTTTTAGTCAGCTGTTAAATGGGGGCTGAGGAACTGGCTAAAGGAGGAAGACCAATTGCCTCTAGGGCAGTAGTTCCCAAACTGTGGGTCGTGATCCCAAATGGGGTTGCAACATCAGCAGAGTGGGTTACGGGGGTGGGGAGCCGAGAGGGGCCATGTTGAGGAAATGGGGCCATAAATGGGGTCATGCTGAGGCAAAGTTTGGGAAGCACTGCTCCAGGGCCTGTTGTGCTGCTCTTGCCCAGCAGATGAGCGAGCCTGTCCGCCGCAGCCATGGGGGCCCCTGCAAGAGGGCTGGAGGTGCGCGGGGTGCAGGCCCCCGTGGTGTGCACAGCGGGGGCTGAGGAACCTTGCCAGGGGCAGGTGGCAGGTTGCTGGTAAGATGGAGGAGGCTGAGGGAGATTCAGAGGAAGGGTGTAGGGGAGGCAGGACGGTGGAGAGAAGAACTGCAGATGTGGGGGAGCTGAGGAGATGGGGAAGGAGTTGGGAGGTTTGAGGATGAAGGGTAGCTGGCAGGTCGGCAGGGCCTGGGGAGGGGGCCGCTGAGGATGGGTGAAGGGGAGCAGAGGTTTGTGGACAGAAGGAAGCAGGCGAGCTGGTCGGAAGGGGAACAGGGCCGGGGGGTGGGGAGAGAGGGACCGACCTCTGCGGGGAAAGTGGGGAGGAGGGAGCTAGGGGAAAGGTGCGGGGAGATGAGCACGGGG